GAAAGTCCTAATTGGTTTGTCCTCACTCTCAGACTTGGTTATTGATTCTATTAATGTTGTCACTTCTCTTTCATGGTCCAGGTTGTCCTCATGTGTTTAGGGACTCTGGGTTGTATGTACTCATGGTATTTGTCACCTGTCTCTGAATGCAACTTGTGGTTACTATCATGGAAGCAGCAGACACCAGTCAGTTTTAAAGTATTTTGAAGCACTCAACAAATGAGGGGGTTCAACCCTGGGGTTTCTGCTGAAGTGGGTGGTCTCCATTAACAAGCCTGTCTTGTAGCTGAGTTTCATAGAACAGAATAACTTGCCCAAGCTCAAAACCTGAGAATAACAAAACTGGGCTCCTAACCAGACCATCTGGCCCCAAACCCATTCAGTTCTCATGATGCTTCGACCAAGCCAAGTCTTCCCAATGCCAACCAGGCCCCTCCCAGTTCCTAATGCCCACTAACCAGACAGCTGTTAAACAGAATGTTTAAATATATTTCTTTTTTTTATTCCTAAAAAAAAAGAGAGAGAAGTCAACAATAAGCTTCACACACTGCAGAAAGTATCATGGGTTACAACTTCCCCCTCCTTCAAAATCACTGTACTCTTAAAATCCTAGATGAAAATCTCCAAGAAGGTGGAGACTCCCACATAGGAGGATTTCCAATCCCAGACTTTGGCAGCTTAAGAAGAGGGAGACTCCTAGCTGGTCTTGCCCAGCTCTATCTCACAGATCCAGGAGAAGGGCCTCTGGCAGACATCATCATTCCAGCGACCATCATTGGAAAAGCTAGCACAGTCCTCACCTCCTCCCATCCCATGCTCCGTCCAATCATCAGGCTGATTTCGACTCCAGTACCTGCAGACAAGAGATAGCTGTGTACCCAGGGAGGTCAGATTCAGCCACATTCCCATGAGCTCCTCCCACCTTCCAGAACACAGGCTAGGAAGCCAGATCAATCCCAAGGAGAGGACACATACTCACTTGAAGCCTCTCTCATAGTCAGTCCCATCCACCCATCTCCAAGGTCCATTTTGGTCAGTGAGGCCCATCCAGGAGGGCTCAGAGCCCATGTGCTTCTCAATGAATTTCTGTGAAGAAAACAAAAGGTTGATGACCTTTCCCTTACATCAGACAGCCAATAAGAGGAGCTACCAGGCTTACCTGCTCTTCTAAGGAGGTGACCACCACCAGGTGGGAGTTCTGCAACTGGCAGTTCTGGTCAGCTTCAGGCCAGGACCTGTCAGATTGAGAGAACCAGTAGCAGCTGCTCTCATGCTCCAACCAGTCAAGGGGGCAGCAGGTTTTTGCAGAGTCTGAGGGGAAAAAAATGGGGTGGAGAGGCTGAGGAATGGCCTAGCACACCATCAATGGTGAAGTGGAGCCAGCCATGCCTGCCCAGCTCCTCACCATTGTTCTTGAGGTTGGCCAGCTGGCAATTAAGGGTTACTAGGTTCTTTGCCAATCGTTGTACTTGCAGGACCACCTCAGATTGACCTGAAACACAGACACAGGGGGACTGATGAGAGTACTTTGGGTGTGACCACTACTCAGGCACCCCACTAGGATCTTCCTGTGCTCCCACAAATACATCATGTCAAGGTACACTGGAACAGCCATCTGACCTGCTTTGAAGTCCTGCTCCTGTTTCTGCAGGCTGCTCTCCACTGAAACTACCTTCTGGTTCAAGCTGTGGGCTAGACGGGAGAGGGCTCAGCACCAGGATGCTTCTCCCATGCACACCCTTCCATAAGCTTTTGGAGAACAAGGTGTCTCACCTGCCAGCAGTTCCTGCCTGTGATCCTCCACCTCAGCTTTCAGAGAGGTTATGGTTTCTTGCAAGCTCTGACCTGGAGGAAACAGGGACTTGAGATCAGGAGTCAGTCCACACACACATACACCCAGCCCAGACCCCACCCAAGCCCAGCTCTCCATGGGAGGTCAGTGCCTGGACATTGGCCCCTGTGTCTACACTGAAATTGCTGAAAGTTGTCCTCAGGGTGCCCAGGTCCCTGTGTAACTTGGAATCTGATGA